CAAAGTGCTTTAAAACTAGGCCTCTGGTCCCCCGTGTGAAAAGAACAGCTGTTACAGCTCCCTCTAAAATGTAATTTCTGAGGGCCCCAATGTCTAATTAGCACGCAGTCACAAAGAGCTTCAGAAATAAACACAAAGCATTTCAATAAAGGAAATGAAGAGAAACTGAAGGATAAGAATTCATCCAATCAACGTAGAATTGAGGGTTGGAGGGTAAGGCAGGTGAGGAGAAGGATTAGTCAGCTGCTAACCTTGAAAGACAATAATAAAATTTCAGTGTTAGAAGGCACTTCGTCTAGAAGGCTGCTCATCTAGTTAGATATGCTCCCTGGGCATTCCCCAGTATGTAGTGTTTTCAGCCATGAAAGCAATCTGTTGCTAAACTGCTCCAAGCAATTGCTGCATTTGCAGAGCACAGCTCCTGATTTATTGTGGTTTGGCATGCTTGAGCAGTCTGCTGGTGCACACTGTTGGCTTTGGGAAAAGAATAGATATAGGGTATAATTTTAAAGAAGAAGAATTCCTGGATGCCTAGATCCAGGTTTGGGACAAGTAACTCTTTGGTGAGAGATCCCCAGCAGAGATTTAAAATCACAAAATATGCAGCAAAGTAAAGCGTGGAGCTATAGGCTGTTAGACCTTAAAATATACCCTTCTAAATTACTTCCAAAGTTCACAACTTCCCTCAGTATAGAAAGAGACCACACGTTTTGTAAGTTAAAAATGGTTTACTTACAAACTCTTCAAAGGTCTGATTCATGTGCTTTTCCATTCAGCAGCAAGAAAAAGACAGGAAGTATAACTCAGGTTCCGAAATGGTAAATGTTTCCAAATCATTTGTATAGAAACACAAATATGGCTTGCTTAAACCACATGGTCTAAGCTTGGAGCATCCAGCTTAGATCTCCTTACTGGTAGGGTTCACATGGTGGAATGGAACAACAAAGAGTTTGGTGACCTAGCTAAGCCTGGCAGGACTGCTTACTCTATGGTCTTAACCCTTTCATGCATTCATTTCATGCATGTTGGTTATATGAGGCTGCGCATTCCACACATACTGCCCAGCTATTTCTACTTTCCTAGAACAAGTGAGAAAACCAAAGCAGGAGGTCTACTGTGATCATGGTTCGTAGCTCCCTGCCAAGCTATGATCACCAGCCAACGTTGGCTTGCTGGTCATGTGCCCAGTTATGGAGCAAAAAAATCACAGTGCCTGCTTTAGCCATAATGGGAAGCCAAGGCTTACACATTTATTTATCTCTGTCAAAGAATTAGGGAATGGTGAGTTATTGTATCTTATGCTGCTCAATCACAGTAAAGCACAAAAAACCAGGAAATCTGTTTAATCTTCCTGTGAGAATGTGGCCAATGAGTCTGATATCGTAAGCTTGCAACTGTGGGCCCCAATCAATCAAGAAGCACAATCACAGCCCAAATCTTCCCTGACAACAGTTTTGTCTCTTCCTTAGGACCCAGCCCGGGAAATCCGGAAAGTAGCCCAATTTCTGGGCCTACAACTCCCTGATCAAGTGGTGAACCAGATTGTGCAGCATACAATGTTTGAGAACATGCAAGTAAACCCAATGACTAACTACAGCTCCATTCCGTCTTTGATCTTTGACCAAACTGTGTCACCCTTCATGCGAAAAGGTATGTTGGTGGTGGTGGTGGGGATTAGATGTTGAGTTCCAGCTCACATCGGAGAGAAGAGGGGAATTGTGGTACTGGGGTGATGGTGAAAGCGTTCAGGGAGCAAACACTTTCAGTTTCAGAATTGCAGCAGTGTTATTGATGTACCACATAATAATAGAATAATTAAGGGTCAGTTCAATAAACTTGCATCTCCACTGTGAGGAAGCATGTAATTAAAGGTGCAAGAGACTTTTCTGAATTGGACTTGCTTCCTATAGTATGATATTGGTCATTTGGATGGACACTGACGGACAATATAAGAAGTGGTGTGGGAAAACTGGTTTTTGTCAGCTTCCAGAGGACTGGAGGAAAGTAATGCTTTAGCAGCACTGACATGGAGATGAAACCCAAGATTGTCATGCAGTGTGTGCTCTAGATAGATCATAGTATCTCTTTTAGGAAGACAGTGATGATGCCTGATAAAAAATGAGTGTTTACCCTAGGAAACTTCCCGGAAACCTCTGCAATCCAGCTGGGATTCTGTGGGAGACCTTGAAGGAAATGATAGACAAGCTAATATGGAAGAGAGGGTTCCATGAAAATAGGAACACACTAGATTAGAGTAGGAGGAAAGGTGACTAGTAAACTGGAAGTTTTGTCTGAATTGTGTCTCCTGTCTATAGGCACCGTAGGAGACTGGAAAGAGCACTTCACAGCGGCACAAAGTAAGCGGTTTGATGATGCCTGTCTACGGTTGTTAGGGGACAGCAGCCTGGTCTTCCGCACAGAGCTGTAAGAACATCCTTCTGCTACCGATTGATATTTTCTCCATAACATTCCTGTAGTGGACATTTTGGCTGATTTCAATAAAATAAGCAATGAAACCAAATGGAAGGACCAAAGTGAATTTTGTTTGTGTACATATGAAACTATGATGTTAATTCTATACAAAGTAGAGTCATTTAAATGGATAAAAAGGTAAAGGTACCCCTGCCCATACGGGCCAGTGTTGCCAGACTCTAGGGTTGTGCGCTCATCTCACTCTATAGGCCGGGAGCCAGCGCTGTCCGCAGACACTTCCAGGTCACGTGGCCAGCATGACAAGCTGCATCTGGCGAGCCAGCGCAGCACACGGAACGCCGTTTACCTTCCCGCTATAAAGCGGTCCCTATTTATCTACTTGCACCCGGGGGTGCTTTCGAACTGCTAGGTTGGCAGGCGCTGGGACCGAACGACGGGAGCGCAACCCGCCGCGGGGATTCGAATCGCCGACCATGCGATCGGCAAGTCCTAGGATAGCCATGGCTAAATTAGGTCCAATGGTTTCAAACAGACTTATTCTGAATTGGTTTTCATTGGCCACAACCCATGATCATTTTATTTGTTTCCTTAAAAGAGGGTTGATTCAAACACACTTTTGCCAAGCTGTCTAGGACAGGATCTGTTGCTGATGCTCTTTTATTTTTCTCCTTTCAATGCCACTTGACCAGGAAGGGAGAACGAAAGCTGAATTTTGCAAGCAAATTCAACAGCGATGTTTCTCTTGTATTCTGAAAAGGGAAGAGCCCTGCAAAAGCCTTTGTGAGTCTCCCCACTTTTAATTCCCCAATCTCAAACCAAGAAGCTGTGTTGGGGTTATCAGCAACAGCTGCTATCCACAATGGCTCTGCTATGCAGCCACAGTCAGAGGCAGCAGTGCTTCTGACTACCAGTTCTGGAAAGCGCAGGACGGGAGAGGGCTCTTGTGCTCAGATCCTGCTGGCTGGTTTCCCATAGGCATCTGGTTGGCCACTGTGAGAACAGGATGCTGGATTAGATGGGTCATTGGCCTGATCCAGCAGGCCCTTCTTACACTCAGTAGCTGAATTGGTAGCCCATGTAATTCTGTGGCTAGAAGAGGCTCTGGTAATCATTGCAACTTTCCCCAGCAGAACAGGATAATGGTGGTGCCTGTTGGGAATTCTATTCCACCCTTTGCTGCAGATATGTGGATTGTTACATGTCACGTGTCTGTTTACATTCCAGCACAGATTGCTGGCGTGAGCGGAAGATCAGAGGGTATCACAACAGCCAGCTGATTTGGGCATTTTAAGGTAGTGGTGTGGTGGCCAGGAGGTCCGGTTTATCGTCATGTGAGAATGTGGCCAATGAGTTTGGTGTTGTAAGCTTGAGACTGCAAGGCCTGAATCAATCAAGAAGCACAATCACAGCCCGAATCTTCCCTGACAACAGTTACATTTCTTCCTTAGGATCCGGCCCAGGAAATCCGGAAAGTAGCCCAATTTCTGGGCCTACAACTCCCTGATCCAGTTGTGAACCAGATTGTGCAGCATACAATGTTTGAGAACATGAAAGTAAACCCAATGACTAACTACAGCTCCATTCCGTCTTTGATCTTTGACCAAACTGTGTCACCCTTCATGCGAAAAGGTGTGTTGGGGTGAGGGACAGGAACAGTGCTGAGTTCCAGCTCATATCAGAGGGAATTATTTAGAAGCACTGTAGAAGTACCCCTTCAGAATGGTGAAGTTAAAGGTCAGATCATTAATGTTGCATGTCCCTTGTGAAGAAGCTTCTAATTAAAGTTGGAGAGGATCTTGTTTCCCGTAGTACGATCTTGGCCATGCAGATTGATATTGCCAGACAGTATAGAACTATATTAAGTGATGTGAGAAAACTAGTTTTTAATCAGTTTCCAGACAATGCAGGAAAGTAATGCTTCAACAGCCCTGGCATGGAGATGAAATCCAAGACTGTCGTGCAGTAACACTTTGGCTGGTTTGAGGTTGATCAGGAAGCGCATTTCAAGGGCAAAAATATACATGCAATAGATCTATATTACGTGTGCAGTAGGTAGAAAACCAAGTACGCAAGCCTCAACTGATGCTAGGACAAAATGTCAAGTTGCTACAATCTATCTTGGGGGATTATGGGATGCAGTCCTTGGATCTTCTATTCACTGAACTGTATTGTGTAATTGTGTAAATGTATGTGTTTTATATGTTAATAAAATTTAAATTAAAAATTAAAAAAGAACTGTATTAACTCCTAAAAATGTGTGTTTCTGTAGCAAAACAGGAACCAAGGTCCCTTGCCGTAATATGAATCGCTCAAGGGCCCTGCCCCCGAGAGGAAATGCCGGAGGCATATTACCAGGGGGTCGCCTGGCCTCTCTGCAGGGATACTTGCTATCGAGGGTTAAAGAACATTGGGTGGAAAATCAGGCCCTGGGGCAGTAGATGCAACACGATATCCTCACATACGAACAGCCGCACACACTTTATATCACCACACTATTACAAAAATTAAACTGTAACCTCAGAAAAGTACTGGCAGAGTGCCCGCATCTAACATGCAAAGAAGTTCAGGGACTTTGCTCTCTCCGAAAAAGACCCTCTCCAGCTGCGCAGAGAGCAAGAGAGAGGCGGAAAGGAGGAAGAAGCTGCTCACAATCTAAGACTGGAGTGAAACTGTCAGGTGGGCATTTCATTTGGTTTCCTTCAGGTAGATGGCACAGGAGAGCAGTAAGCAAATGTGGCCTCCTGCCAACGGGCACGGCTGTGTTGGGGTGGAAAGCACAAGGATCCTATACGCTAAGAGCAGTCTCGTTCACCAGTGGTACCGCCTGTGCCCACGAGAGAGGTATCTGTAAGCTTCAGGGAACCTCCAACAGTCCAGTAAGGTCTGAGCAGGCTCAGTGGCAGCAAAGCACTGGCTGAATTCAAGGTGGGAAGGATAAAAAAGGAGGAGGGGAAGGGAAACTGGGACGGTGTATCCAGGGAAATGGGGGTGACCCTGAAGATGGGGAGGCCACTCTGCAACATTTTGATGCAGGTTCAACTTATCTCATATTATTTCTTTTCATGCTCCACCAGTCACAAAACTGGGTGGGAAGGTATGGAGCCCATCAAGCGCACAGAGCTGGTGGACGTTGACGGCATCCCTTGCCTCAAAGACACGGCAGATAACTGGCAGCGCCTTTGGGCCTTCAAAGCTCGGCCCGATGACCTTCTCATTTGCACTTACCCCAAAGCAGGTAAATGGGGAGACGAGAACAAGGGGCTTTGTCCTGGTGGTGAGGAGACAACAATGTGGGGGGAGATGTAGAGCTTGGTCGATTGGGGGCCAATGGGTGAATGACTGGATCTCCATATTTCTCCTCCAACCCTTCCTGCCAGGGACTTCCTGGATACAGGAAATTGTGAGCATGATCCAGCATAGAGGAGACCCTCAGAAATGTGACCAGGCCCCCATCCATCAACGGATTCCCTTCATAGACCTGTTCCCTCCAAAACGTTTCCCTCATGGTGAGTAACAGGTGCCGCTTCAGAGAGACAATGGGTGTGTGTGTGGGGGGGGAAGGATTTCATCCTCACCTCTAGGCTGAATGTCACCCTCTCGTGTTTTAGGCTTGGACGAGGCAGAGGTAATGCCCTCTCCACGAACGCTCAAATCTCACCTCCCAGTCCCTCTGTTGCCACCTTCCTTCTGGGAACAGAACTGCAAGGTCTGTTGGGTCAATGGGTTTAATATAAGTCAAAGTTTAGTCCTGGAACCTCTCTCAGTTTCCGTGCTCAGCCCTTGGGCTGTGTGAAACGCAAAGGAGAGGAGAGTGGGGCCTATGAGCAGGTGAAGAGGTTCAATATTATGGACCAGTCAGGTTTCAAACAGGTTTGGGGCCCCTTTTTCCTCGAAGGGCACTGCTCCCCAAAAAATAAAAAGGAGGGGCAGAAAGTTCACAAGGTGGAACAAGGGATGTGAGTGGAAGGCTTCACATTCAGACTCCCCTCTTTCTGCAGATCATCTACTTTGCCAGGAATGCCAAGGACAGCGCAGTCTCCTACTTCCATTTCCACCGCATGAACAAGGAGTTGCCAGAACCAGGAAACTGGGATGAGTTTCTGGAGAACTTCCTCATGGGAAAGAGTGAGTGGAGGATACATAACTACAAAACAGGGAAAAATAAAGTGTGCATCAGTCTGAGCAAGCTTTCAGTCCAGGCCAAGACCTTGTTTGATCTCCTCTGCTGTATTAGAGAGGGATGAAAGCTACTGGTCCCCACACGAGATACACATTAGCAGAAGGAGGGAATTACTCTTGTTCACCTGCAAAGCTCTGCACTGTTTTTCTTCCAGCCCTATAATGTTGTAAGTTATATTTAGGGAAGGTTATGTGAGAACCAGATTAAGAGGCCTGTCCTCTGTTTCAAATAACCCTATGTTTGAAGGGCTATTTGGTCATTGTCTGGTTTAAAAACAAAGAGCCATCAAAGGGAGAATCATAGAATTGTAGAGTTGGAAGGGACCCCAAGGCTCCCAGTACGTTTCCGAGCACAATTCCAAGTGTTGGTGCTGACCTTTAAAGCCCTAAACGGCCTCGGTGCTGTATACCTGAAGGAGCGTCTCCACCTCCACCGTTCAGCCTGGACACTGAGGTCCAGCGCCGAGGGCCTTCTGGTGGCTCCCTCCCTGTGAGAAGTGAGGTTACAGGGAACCAGGCAGAGGGCCTTCTCGGTAGTGGCGCCCGCCCTGTGGAATGCCCTCCCATCAGATATCAATGAAATAAACAACTATTTGACTTTTAAAAGACAACTGAAGGCTATCTTTTAGGGAAGTTCCCTGTTTAGGAAGTTTTTAATGTTTGATGCTGTATTGATTTTAATATTTGGTTGGAAGCCGCCCAGAGTGGCTGGGGAAACCCAGCCAGATGGGCGGGGTATAAATAATAAAATCATCATCATCATCTCATCCAATCCCCTGCAATGCAGGAATATGTGGCTGTCCCATACAGGGATCAAACCAGCAACCTTGGCATTATCAGCACCATGCTCTAAACAGTTGAGCTATCCAGGCTCTAGGGTGGCTATATGCAGCAGGAGACTTCAGGTAGTTCACCAACATTTAACACCTGGACAGTGACAGAGAATACATGGAGCAGATCATGTGGGGACAGATTCCCCCACTATATTGGGGCTCTATTGCATTTCTGTTTCAATTAATTAGTTCTGAAAAGTAGAGGGCAAAAAGTGGTACCAGTTTGCAGAACATTTTGATGTGCTGATTTATGTGTGTGTGTCAGTATTTCTTCTCCATTTGCATCTACTTGCAGTTGCCTGGGGCTCATGGTTTGATCATGTCCGTGGATGGTGGGAGGCCAAAGAACGTTACCAAATCCTGTACCTCTTTTATGAAGACATGAAAGAGGTAAGCAGTTTACACCCACACACACGGTCCAGATGGAGCCTAAGCATGAAGTTGGGCAGGAAAGATGCCCTTTTCTGGGGCCAGGGAGTCAAGGGACATCTAACTCAAATTGCAAGTTTGTTGAAATGTGGGGTGGGGGGAATGGAGGGTAAATTATGCCACCCCCAACATGGTGTCTTCCAAATGTTTTGGACTACAATATTGGCTCAAGGGAAAAAAAAAAGGTATATAGAAAGGAGACTTCCGGGCTCCAGGATTGAGGCAAGTACTCTTTGGTGAAAGAATCCCAGCAGAGATTTAAAATCACAAAATACACAGCAAACTAAAGCATGGAAATATAGGTTGCTAGACCTTCAAAAATATGCTCTTGAGAGTTCCAAAACTTCCCTCTTCCCCTAGCGTAGAAAAAGACCACATGCTTGGTAGCTTTAAAATAGTTTACTTACAAACTCTCCAAAGGTCAGATTCATCTGCTTTACCATACAGCATTCAGAAAAAGAGACTGGTCCCCTAGAGTTAGGCTGTGTCCAGATGGGAGCATTATCTTGCAACAAGGTCATGCTGACCTGATTTTCCTCTGTTTGCAATTGGCACCCACCCCTTCTTCTTACCCAACATATTCATTGCTGTCTTTCTACTTGCTGTCTCCACCACTGGGCAGAGTTTGGCAGAAAATACCCTGGGTATGCTTTTTTGGCTCTCCGCTTAATCACCCCTTCCCTTAATTAGCTGACACAGTATTAAATTACAGTTTGCTTTGTGGGAGGCTGTTTTTGTTCTTTTCGTACATCCCCGATTTAACAGAACTGCGCAGGATCTGTAACCATAAGAACAGACTGGGACATTGGCGGGCTCTCTGTGTGTCGGGGTGGGTGCATGTGCTTTGTGTAGATCAAGAAAATTACTTTCTCCCAGCTTTCTTCAACTGATGTCTAGCTGCAACGGGAACCAGCCTAGTTGCTGAGAAAAGAGAGCCGAATCAAATTAGCCCCCTGAAGCTCTTCTTGCTGTTTTTTCTCCAAACCTCTTCAAGAGTCTCTTCCACTCCAGCATTGGAGAGATTTGAGGCGGGCGGGCAAGAGGCAGCAAGGCTTGAGTAGAATTAAATCCTTTGTACGTTCTTTTTCCAAACTAAGAGTCTAATTTGGTATTTGGGAGATTGCCTGAGATGTGAGGGGGGGAGGTGGGGGCAGGAAGCAAGAGGCAACAAGGGCCTTTCCTGCCCCATGCCTCTTCTGGCTGTTTCTCCCCACTCCAGTATCCCTGATAGCTCTAGGTAGCAGAACTTTCTTCTTCTGCAGAACTCTGTGGGGATAAAACAAGAAGTGACCCAGGGCTGATTTGATTCACTTCCCCCTCTCAGCAATGCAGCCGAGCCGAGGACCTTGAAGAAGACTGGAGGAAATTAACTATCTGAATCTGCAGCCAGCTTGGCTTAAACTCACCACACATTCCTCCCCGCCCTCGGAGAATTAAGCAGCCCCAGTTTCTTATTGTCATTTCAGAACTTCACACAATTCCATGAAATAGGATCCCAAAGTGCTTTAAAACTAGGCCTCTGGTCCCCCGTGTGAAAAGAACAGCTGTTACAGCTCCCTCTAAAATGTAATTTCTGAGGGCCCCAATGTCTAATTAGCATGTATGTCTGGCTATAACGCAAACCAGGCAGTCACAAAGAGCTTCAGAAATAAACACAAAGCATTTCAATAAAGGAGATGAAGAGAAACTGAAGGATAAGAATCCATCCAACCAACGTAGAATTGAGGGTTGGAGGGTAAGGCAGGTGAGGAGAAGGATTAGTCAGCTGCTAACCTTGAAAGACAGTAATAACATTTCAGTGTTAGAAGGCACTTCATCTAGAAGGCTGATCATCTAGTTGGATATGCTCCCTGGGCATTCCCCAGTATGTAGTGTTTTCAGCCATGAAAGCACTCTGTTGCTAAACTGCTCCAAGCAATTGCTGCATTTGCAGAGCACAGCTCCTGATTTATTGTGGTTTGGCATGCTTGAGCAGTCTGCTGGTGCACACCGTTGGCTTTGGGAAAAGAATAGATAGATATAGGGTATAATTTTAAAGAAGAAGAATTCCTGGATGCCTAGATCCAGGTTTGGGACAAGTAACTCTTTGGTGAGAGATCCCCAGCAGAGATTTAAAATCACAAAATATGCAGCAAAATAAAGCATGGAAATATAGGCTGTTAGACCTTAAAATATACCCTTCTAAATTACTTCCAAAGTTCACAACTTCCCTCAGTATAGAAAGAGACCACACGTTTTGTAAGTTAAAAATGGTTTACTTACAAACTCTTCGAAGGTCTGAGTCATGTGCTTTTCCTTTCAGCAGCAAGAAAAAGACAGGAAGTATAACTCAGGTTCCCAAATGGTAAATATTTCCAAATCATTTGTATAGAAACACAAATATGGCTTGCTTAAACCACACGGTCTAAGCTTGGAGCATCCAGCTTAGATCACCTTACTGGTAGGGTTCACATGGTGGAAAGGAACAACAAAGAGTTTGGTGACCTAGCTAAGCCTGGCAGGACTGCTTACTCTGTGGTCTTAACCCTTTCATGCATTAATTAGTTAAGCATGTTGGTTATATGAGGCTGGGTATCCCACACATACTGCCCAGCTATTTCTACTTTCCTAGAACAAGTGAGAAAACCAAAGCAGGAGGTCTACTGTGATCATGGTTCGTAGCTCCCTGCCAAGCTATGAACACCAGCCAACGTTGGCTTGCTGGTCATGTGCCCAGTTATGGAGCAAAAAAATCACAGTGCCTGCTTTAGCCATAATGGGAAGCCAAGGCCTACACATTTATTTATCTCTGTCAAAGAATTACGGAATGGTGAGTTATTGGGCAGTGTATCTTATGCTGCTCAATTATAGTAAACCACAAAAAACTAGGAGATCTGTTTAATTTTCCTGTGAGAATGTGGCCAATGAGTCTGATATCGTAAGCTTGCAACTGTGGGCCCCAATCAATCAAGAAGCACAATTACAGCCCAAATCTTCCCTGACAACAGTTTTGTCTCTTCCTTAGGACCCAGCCCGGGAAATCCGGAAAGTAGCCCAATTTCTGGGCCTACAACTCCCTGATCAAGTGGTGAACCAGATTGTGCAGCATACAATGTTTGAGAACATGAAAGTAAACCCAATGACTAACTACAGCTCCATTCCGTCTTTTATCTTTGACCAAACTGTGTCAACCTTCATGCGAAAAGGTATGTTGTTTGTGGTGGTGGTGGGGATTAGATGCTGAGTTCCAGCTCACATCGGAGAGAAGAGGTTATTGTGGTACTGGGATGCTGGTGAAAGCGTTCGGGGAGCAAACACTTTCAGTTTCAGAATTGCAGCAGTGTTATTGATGTACCACATAATAATAGAATAATTAAGGGTCAATTCAATAAACTTGCATCTCCACTGTGAGGAAGCTTCTAATTAAAGGTGCAACAGACTTTTCTGAATTGGACCTGCTTCCCATAGTATGATATTGGTCATGTGGATGGACACTGATGGACAATATAAGCAGTGGTGTGGGAAAACTTGTTTTTGTCCGCTTCCAGAGGACTGGAGGAAAGTAATGCTTTAGCAGCACTGACATGGAGATGAAACCCAAGATTGTCATGCAGTGTGTGCTCTAGATAGATCATAATATCTGTTTTAGAAAGACAGTGATGATGCCAGATAAAAAATGAGTGTTTACCCTAGGAAACTTCCCAGAAACCTCTGCAATCCAGTTGAGATTCTGTGGGAGACGTTGAAGGAAATGATAGACAAGATAATATGGAGGAGAGGGTTCCATGAAAATAGGAACACACTAGATTAGAGTAGGAGGAAAGGTGACTAGTAAACTGGAAGTTTTGTCTGAATTGTGTCTCCTGTCTATAGGCACCGTAGGAGACTGGAAAGAGCACTTCACAGCGGCACAAAGTGAGTGGTTTGATGATGCCTGTCTACGGTTGTTAGGGGACAGCAGCCTAGTCTTCCGCACAGAGTTGTAAGAACATCCTTCTGCTACCCATTGATATTTTCTCCATAACATTCCTGGAGTGGACATTTTGGCTGATTTCAATAAAATAAGCAATGAAACCAAATGGAAGGACCAAAGTGAATTTTGTTTGGGAAACTATGAAACTATGCAAAGTAGAGTCATTTAAATGGATAGCCATGGCTAAATTAGGTCCAATGGTTTCAAACAGACATTCTGAATAGGTTTTAATTAGCCACAACCCATGATCATTTTATTTGTTTCCTTAGAAGAGGGCTGATTCAACCACACTTTTGCCAAGCCCTCTAGGACAGGATCTGTTGCCGGTGCCCTTTTATTTTTCTCCTTTCAATGCCACTTGACCAGGAAGGGAGAACGAAAGCTGAATTTTGCAAGCAAATTCAACAGCGACGTTTCTCTGGTGGTGCCTGTTGGGAATTCCATTCCACCCTTTGCTGCAGATATGTGGATTGTTACATGTCACATGTCTGTTTACACCCCAGCACAGATTGCTGGCATGAGCGGAAGATCAGAGGGTATCACAACAGCCAGCTGATTTAGGCATTTTAAGGTAGTGGCGTGGGGTTGGAATCAGTGTTCTCCGTTTGCAGATGTCGTAGGGTATCACTACTCAAGCCCACATTAACCTCCACAAAATATATGGCCATGGTGAAATCTGCACAGCAAGGTCAGGAAGCAGCAGACGAAACCCAGCCCTGGAGCACAAGAAACCGGAGGCAAGAGAAAATACCTCACCAAAAAACACAGGCATTCTAGCCAGACCTGACTAGAACAAGCAGTACAGACAAACAGTACAGTACAGTGGTACCTCGGGTTACATACGCTTCAGGTTACATACGCTTCAGGTTACAGTCTCCGCTAACCCAGAAATAGTACTTCAGGATGAAAACAGAAAACAGGATGAAAACAGAAATCGTACTCCGGCAGCGTGGCAGCAGCGGGAGGCCCAATTAGCTAAAGTGGTGCTTCAGGTTAAGAACAGTTTCAGGTTAAGAACAGACCTCCGAAGCAAATTAAGTACTTAACCCGAGGTACCACTGTACAGACAAACAGCAGTACAGGGGAACAAAAAGGCGCTTTCTGGTAACTGGTGAAGGGAGGGAAGTTGGTAGGCGATTGTACCATTTTTATTTCCTTGCCAGTAAGTAGTGCCAGAGGGACAGCGGAATTGAGCTCATAATTCCTTATTTTCAGCATTTATGCCTAGCCCTTTAGCCTCAAAAGGCTTAAAGAGCAACTTACAAAAATCATTTCTAAGACCAGGGGTGCCAACTTGAACAAAATATGAGGGGTGTGTGTGTTTAAGTCCTGCTTCACATAATCATTCACAAGATGTGTCATACACACACCATTTGAATGGCAACGGCTATCTATTGGGGGGTGGGTGGGGTGGACCTGGCCTCCTCAAATGTTTTATTTGGGGGGTGTGTGTAGGGAACTTGGCTGCCAGGAGTCAGCTCCTATATCTAAGACCACCCCTCTGCCCTCAGGCTCACAAAGACATGGCATAAGAGGAAAAATGAATGAGAGGAGGGAGCGGGGAGTAAGCTCAAGTTTCAACCCATTTCAATGTCGGTTTTGGCTCTCTTTACCTGGGATCATGAGCAGCTCCTCCTCTGAAGCATTATTCCCACCCGCAGGTCAGATCCAGGAGCAGAGCTGGCGGCAACACCCAGGCCAGGAGGGCAAAGCCACATTCCTGCCACACTCGCACACAGAGAGCTGGCATATTGGCAGTTGGGCTCCTCACAGGAGAGGGCTTGGTGGAATTCCCTCCTCCCACATTGGTATCAGTGGCAATCCTTGACGTCTTGCCCTCCCCACAAGCACCATTCCCCTCAGTTCAGAGCCTCAGTTCAGAGCCAAGGGCAGAACTGGGGACAATGGCCCAGCCAGGAGGAAGGCCAGCTCCTGCCACAGAGTTCTTCCCACAGGCAACAGGAGCTCAAGTATTTTCTAAGTGGCCTCAAAGTGTCTTTTATCAGCTTTTGGGCCAATATGCCAGCTGTGACCATATGTGGATAGGGACAGCTGAGCTACAGTGCTCTGTGCTCAGGTAACCTCCTGCTTAGACAACAGCAACGTGTTGAACCTGGGGCTGCTGTTTAAAATGGTCTGGAAACTGCTGTTGAATCATAACTAGAGCTGCAAGATTATTAGCTGGGAGTGGGGGTTTTTAATCACATCCTGCCAGCACTTCCCAGTCTCAAGTCCTGGCCCAATTTAAAGTGTAGATTTTAACCCACAAAACCCTACACAGCTTTTTTTTTTTAATGTATTTATTTATTACATTCATATCACACTTTTCCTTTAAGGAGCTCAAGGCAGTATATACATGGTCCTCCCCATTTTATCCTTACCACAGCCCTGTGGAGATTGGTTAGACCATGGTTTCCCAAACTTGGGTCTCCAGCTGTTTTTGGACTACAACTCCCATCATCCCTAGCTGGCAGGACCAATGGTCAAGGATGATGGGAATTGTAGTCCAAAATAAATCTCTAGAAGGGCCCAACCTTTAAGGACTTAAATGATGCCGGGTGCAGGTCAGAGTTCTCTGATTGTGCTTTTCACACGGGATATGCGGGGACATTTATCCCACATGCTGGTTGCCATATAGGTAAGGTTAACTTTGTCTTGAAGAGTCTTAACAGGAATAGGCCCCCTTTCAGGAGGCATGCGTAAGCTTCCACGTACTTCTAAACATGGTACGCCAGCCCTGCTGCATCTGAAGAACCTGAAGCCGGGGCATGGGGCTCATTCTGCTCAGTGCAGTTCTGGGTGTCTGCCCCAAAGTCCTGCTCTGATTCCCCCTCTCCCCAACTTTAATCCGCAAGGACACACTCCTATAGTCAACACTCTCCTAGAGTCATGGCTCTTGGCTGGATGCCTGGGCATGAGAAAAACAGCAGTCAGAAGCACCTCCCTCCTCACCCCTCTGGACTCTGTCATATAAGCAGACACACCTCAGGCAGGTCCTGTGCAGTGCAGTTTCTTTCGGAGGCAAGAGAAGAGAGACAGGGGAAAGAAAGTAAAGAATGACCAAGGTTCGTAACTGGAGTAACGAGTGAAGCAAGTTTTGTTCTTCCAGGCTCAGTAAGTGGTGCTGAAGGAGAGCAGGTGCTGAAGGAGAGTGGGGATAAGCAGTAAAGTACGACACGATTTGGGGGGTAGCTAAACCCCATACATTAACAATGGTAGGATTTTTGATTAGTTGAAGGGAAGTTTGCAGGCCAGTGGAAAAATACAGGCTAAGCTTCCTTTCCAAACCAGGACCTCGCCTGGGATATTAGACATGACAAAAGGTGTTGATGGCCCACCTGAGAGGAATTTTTGGACCTGGACAGACAGAGGTTGCCATGGTGATGGGGTTTGTGTTTGAGGTGTCAGGAAAAGAGAGTACAGTGGTACCTTGGGTTAAGAACTTAATTCGTTCTGGAGGTCCGTTCTTAACCTGAAACTGTTCTTAACCTGAGGTACCACTTTAGCTAATGGGGCCTCCCGCTGCCGCCGAGCGATTTCTGTTCCCATCCTGAAGCAAAGTTCTTAACCTGAGGTACTATTTCTGGGTTAGTGGAGTCTGTAACCTGAAGCGTCTGTAACCTGAAGCATCTGTAACCTGAGGTACCACTGTATTGAGAGCAAGGTGTCCTAGGAAGAAGAAGGGGGCGAAAATGGCTGGGATGCATCTTGGGCAGGCTGGCTGGAGTCTAGCTAGGAGAGATGCCTTTGATTCCAGGGCTGCACTGCTGTGGGGAACAGGCCCCTCTTGAAATGACCGCACTATATTATTCCTGTTGCTCCACTAGCAGGCGATGGGTCTCGAATCTGAGCTGGAAGGTCTTGACCTGAAGTCCGAGCGTCGTCCAATGCTGGTGGAAGTTGAGGGAGTCCCTTTGCTCAGAGAAATGGAAGAGAACTGGGATCAACTGAAAGGCTTCCAAGCGCGCCCTGACGATCTTCTCATCTGCACTTACCCCAAAGCAGGTAAATGGAGAGAAATCACATGGGGGTGGGAAAGGGGAGACCAAGGGCTACTGGCTTCGGCCTAAGCAGATTTTCTTTGTTGCTATCCACACCTCACTGGCAGGGACTACATGGATGCAGGAAATTGTGTACATGATCCAGCAAGGAGGAGACCCCCAGAAATACGCTCAGGTGCCAATCTACCTACGGAACCCCTTCATAGACCTGTTTCCCCCAGAGCCCGTACCCTCAGGTGAGTAACAGGCACTGATTCAGGGAGAGGATAGGAAGGGCAAAGACTCTCTCAGCGCAAGGTTGTAAGTCACCCTCTGCTTTTGCAGGCTTGGATGTGGCGGCGGGGATGCCCTCTCCGCGCACGATCAAATCCCACCTCCCAATCCAGCTCCTGCCGCCTTCCTTCTGGAAACAAAACTGCAAGGTCAGAACAAGTTGGGTGATGTAGATGGCTTAATAGGAGCTGAGATTCCACCCTGGGTTCGATTTCAATTTCCGGGCTCAACCTTAGAAATGTCGGAAGCTGCCTTATTCAGACCATTGGTCTACCAAGTCCACTTGCTGTCCACACTGACTTCGACAGACAATACAAAGGGTGGTGATATAATAGCACAAGGCAAAGTCGCAGAAAAATTTATCACCAAGGACAAGGGCTCTACAAGAAGGAGTACAGTATAGACAAGCAGACAAATGCTCTTTCCGGTAAACTCAGCATTTCTTTCCACTAATCATCGAGCTGTACAACAGCGTCCGGGTCTTGACGCATGAGTTGATGTTACTTCTGTCAAATACACAAGTGATTGTAAAGAAAAAGTCTATGTCTATATTTGTCTGCTTGCCTATACTCCTTATTGTGGAGCCTATACTCCTTATTGTGGAGCGCTTGTCCTTGGTGATATATTTTTTCTGTGACAATCCACACTGACTAGCAGCCTATATCCAGGGTTTCAAATAGTGGTCACTCCCAGACCTACCTGGAGACGCCAGGAATTGAAACTTGTACGCAAGGAAGATGCTCCACTGCTGAGCTACACCCCTTCTGCCTTGGGACCAGTGGTGCAGCCTAGGGAGCAGCCGATCTGAAGGTTGGCAAGCTGTTTGTGTCTA